CGGTGTTTTAAATAACCAGCAGGGTCACCCATGGTGGACAGGTTTCAGATGAGCTTCCAGACAAAGACAGACTAGGAAGAAAGAGTGACAAACTACTTCCAAATCGCTAGTCACTGAAAACTCTATGAATAGTAGAGAAACTGGTAGCGTAGTGGTTACGAATTGGGCTGCTAACCTCAGGGTCAGCAGTTCAAAACAACCAGCTATTCCATGGGAGAAAGATGAGGCTTTCTGGTCCCATAAAGATTTATAGCCTCAGAAACCCTGAATGGGGTCGCTATGAGTCAGAACCGACTCCACAGCACAATAACAACAACCAAAAACATAGAAAGATGATATTTAGGTGGTCATTCGACCTTGGAGCTTATTGTCATATCTCCCTGCCCCTCAGAGAGGCATAGTGAAGTTGAGACAGCACAGCACATCTGGGGCCTACAGCTCATCAGGGCAGCTTCATAGCCCTCATGTTTTGAAGCAGGTCCACACTTGCTTTAACAGTCTATTGTCAGTGTCTTAAAAGTCTTTACAACTGTCCAACAAAGGCCCTACATTTTCACTTCGCACTAAACTTAGCAGTCCTGCCATGCCCTCTCTAAATGTGTTTGATAGGTGATTGCAAAGCACTTCCCAAGCAATTACTTCTTTTGTGAGACCTGAGGCCAAACCAAACCAAATCCCCTGCCATTGAATGACTTCTAACTCAGAGGGAACCAGAATACCAATAATGAGGAACAACTCCCCAATGACAACTTAGACTAATGTACCAGAGCATCCGCCTACATCAAAGTCTCAAGAAATCAACGGAAACAGACACAGATGACAACCTGGGAACCCTGGACATCAAACAGAAGGAAGGAGAATTAGACTGAGCTCTGAGGGGAAGGAGAGACAGAAAGACAACAGTGGGCATGGGACTACACACATCCTCAGAGCTTGGAACAATGTGCCTATCTTGGGACAAAGCAGGTAGTGTTCCTAAGTGAGGAGCCCAAGAGGGCAACAACATGGTATTCACCATGCACAATAGGAGTAACAGATACTGTGTAAGCAAATCTGAGGAGTCCCGGTGTGGCGCTATGGTCTAATACGCTAGACTGCAAAGTCAATTTGAACTGTGAGGTCGGTGGTTCCAGCTCACCCGCAACTCCTTGGAAACCCGCTATAGGTCAGAACTGACTCGATGGCACATAACAACAACAACAACCAAATCTGAAACAAAGTGAGCTGGATACAAGTTGGAGCTAAAAAGGAAAAGTAGAGGAAGACTGTGGAGAAGCACCAGTGGTCCTACTGACCATAGAGAAGGGGAGGTGTGAGGCACTGGAGGAGAGCATCCTCACCAGAGGCAGTGTCTGATCATTTGGCCAGGAGATGAATAGTAAATGAATAGTGAAACTGCACTTAAGAGTAAAACCACAGAACAGCAATTAAAGGCCTCTCATTCCAGGGAATCTCCATGTCCCCAGTCCCCACATGTAAATGGGCCAGACCCCAAAACTTGAGGCAGTCAGACAGGAGCACGTCCCACACCTAGCAAATAGTGGAAGCAACAGCAAGCCTGTTGCCCAGATACTGGTGAGAGCATGCGCAATGCTGGACCACCGGTGGTAGCATATCTGCAGCCTGGCCACCAGCAGGAGCACACCCACTGCTCAACAGGGGGAGTGTGGGAACGTGTTTGCAGCCCAGTGACTGGCAAGAGGGTGCCCACTACCTGGTGACAAGGCAAGTGGTCAGGTCCCCTCAGGGCAAACCCCCTTCCAAGACTAAGACTCAATGGGAATACATGCTCTGATTGGTGACCACGTTAGTCACCAGTAAGGAGAAATGAGGGAAAAACAGCAATGGAGCTGCGAGCTCATTAGACTCCTGTGAACCCGGGTGGAGACCTGGTTGACCAGCAGTG